AAAAAAACTATTTGACCATTCAGGCCAGTGCAGGCTTGAAATGGAGATCAAACCTGTATTAGGTTCAATTCAGAGGAATCAGCCATCAACACCATTTTCAGCCTCTTTTCACCTATGAGTAGTGCTGAGGAGTTAAGGACAGGAAGCCATATGTTTGCAATAACATCCCATTCTCCTGTGTTGCAGTCACCTTTTCCTCTTGACTTCCCTTAAAAGCTGTGCTTTAGCAAAGTCCCAGCTGCATCTGCTTGCCATTACTTGTCTATAAATATTCAAACTTCCAACATCTTCTTTGGCACACATACATAAATACACCCTCACTGTGCTAGTCTCCACCCACCAGTTTATAACAATCAAACAGGTTAGTGATAGCACCAGATTTTAAAAGCTTTGGCCCTTTGTTTGCCAAAAGCTCCCAGGGTCCAATTTTCATATCTTTACACAGCCATATACCTCATCAGTGCTTACATTAACCAAAAGAGGCCAGTCCCAGGTGTTAGTCCATGGACACTGGTTTCAGGGTCTGACTTGGCCAAGGCCACATCAGTTCTCTTACTAATTAGTGGACACAGACACCTGACTACATCTACCAGGTGGTGAACTCCACTTGCACCCAGTAAATCTGCAGCTTTTGCAATTAACAAGGCAGTTCCTGAATTTGACTAGGAAATCCCAAAGATTAAAAAGACAAAATATTCAATGCTCTCAGCAATGAGGAAGGAAGAGACAAAATGATCCACTGGTCAGTGAGAGATCATTACAGAAGAGCTGAAGGATAACCTTTAACTCTAACTGGCCTGAATGTGTTCCAGGCTCCAAAGAATACAGCTGAACTCATGCTAAGTGTAAAAAATACCTCACTTGAAATCTCATCTACATTATTGACAGGAAATTGCCTGCGGAACAGGAAGGAGCTGTGAGCTTTTCCTCCGAAAAGAACCCAAGCTCCCCCATCTACCCTAAAGGATTATTAATCACTGATCCAATCCAGCAGCTGCACAGCAAAGAGGGATTAAGAAAAGGAAGAAACAACCAGTGGAAATATTACAATGCATCATAGTTTGTTTTAAAGAAAGCACGATTGGCCACCATCTGCTGCCTGACGTCAGACACAGGGATAGCAGCACTGGCTGAAAGGGAAACGGACCCTTGCCTTTGGTGATGCATTTCTTGTGGCTGTTTGTTACTTTTGCAGGTGTGCACCAGTCCTGTGCTCACCAGTGTTTGGACAGGAAAATGCTGGTGGGTGCCCTTCAATAAAGGATACCTTGGGTCCCCTCCATTTTGGAACCTTAAAGACTTACAGCACATGTGATGCCAAATACACAAAGCCAAATGAGCACATATCCTGATATCTGAAAGAGTACTGGAACCAAGGACTTAGTTGTGTATAAACAAAACTAGTAATCAGACTGGGCAATCATGATAATCAGGTGTAACCACGGGAATAAGTTAAATGGATGGTTGACTAAAGCCCCATGGTTTTGGAAGGAGTTCCAGTGCAGGAGAAATTCATCCAGCCGGAAGACTCCTTCACATGGGAGTCTATTCCCAACATATGGGCTGCATGAGGATAAAAGATGGCTAGAAGATAAGTCCTCCATCCCAGTGAGCAGGAATGGAAGACAGATAGAAGATTCTGGAAGGGGAAGAAAAAAGAGCTGAAGAGGTCTGGGGATAAGACAAGATGGTAGATGACCAAGAAAAGAGACAGAGAAAAAATTGGTGGGAGAAACCCAAGGAAGGGAGAAAAATTAGGGTGGATGAGAAGCAAAGAAAGGACCTGCTCAGTTGACTCAGTTGGGTGACAGGGGGATGATGGGCCATTCTTTGCTATGGCTTGTCCTATTAATGATGCTGTATGACTATTACATTTTAATGGTCTTCATGGGGTTTTCAACAGTTGTTACTTTCTTCAGGTGCATGCCAGGGGAGCTACACTTGAAAGAGGGCAGCTATCCAGCCCTCTCTCCTTTCAGCACCAGGGCCCCTTCACACAGAGCTAATACATTTGGGCTGCAGAGGATGGGGAGCTCCCATTAGTTCTATGATTGTCTGACAGACAGGATAAAGACTGAGCGTTCTCCCCCACTCTGCTCCAAGCATCACCTTCACATAAAATCAAATTACAACCCAGCATGGCGTTCTAAAATACAGACTCCTCAAACTGTGAACCCACCATTCGAATGAGCCACTGGGGAAATGAACGTGTTGCCAATATGGATTGGCAAAGAGTTTTGGTGACTAATGTGGAGTTGACAAAGTCTCTCAGACAAGAAGACAATGGTGGTAAGATTTCTCTCATTAACATGCAGTTAAAATTGAATCAGAATGGATTCAATGTTGAACAGTTTTAATGAAGCAAATGTCAAGCAAGCATATCATCTTCTTAAACAAAGAAAGTCTAAAAGTTTAATTGCAAAAACACTTGTACAGAAAACTTGGCATTTCAACAATTCCAAACACATTAATCCAGCAAATGGACTCCATTTTAATATGTTTTTGTTAACATTTCTCAGAGCAAAGAAAATGTCTGACCCTGCTCCTCCCCTCACCACCCACTTAATTTTTTTTGTCAGCCAACACACTGAAAAATGTAAACTGAAGTGACACTCATGAAAAACACTGAAAAGGCAAAATTCATTTTTCATTGGATAAATCAGTGCAGATACGAAGCTTCTTAATGAGACAAAACATCATCTGTAATATTGTTGGAGAGCAAGAACTCACATCATACCCCCCCCCCCATCCCAGCTGCTTCAAAATGAGCCATGTCATCACATCTCTCTTCCTCTGTGTTGGGGAAAAGGGAAAGACTGGTCAGTCAGCATGCAGCTAAGGGTAAGTACCCGCTTGACTCTCCCATCCAAGAACAGGCATGCTTTGCCCAACACAGAGATATGTTGGCAATGTGCCAGGAGCTGACGGCTACATCTGATTTGTGTAAGACAGGGCAGCTTGCAGCCATCCACACCTTAAATATGGACACAAAGTAGATCAAGCCCTCCCATCTCCAAGGGGTGTATCTCTGTATTAAAGATAAGAGTTACCACTGACTGATGTGTCAGAACTCTGTGGGCCCAGGTTTTGGCTGTGGACTGCACTTAGGCTACTCCCACTTCAATACAGCAGTCAATTGCCACAATTACTAAACGGTGTGAGATGGAGGTGCTTTTTCCTGAAATGCTATTTATCTACAGGATGTTCTCCCACAACTTGTTCGCTACAGAATTCAGAACTAGTTCATGCTAACATCTGCTGGTCTTGCCCAGTGTTCCCTCTATTTTTTCCCACCCATGTGCAGAATGAATCACTTTCATATTGGTGCACATAACAAAATTCATGTGGTGGGGGTGGGACCGAGGGGTTCAGAGCATGGGAGAGGGCTCAGGGCTGGGGCAGAGGGTTGGGTGCAGGGGGTGAGGGATCCAGCTGGGGGTGCAGGTTCTGGGATGGGGCCGGGGATGAGGAGCTCAGGGCTGGGGCAGAGGATTGGGTGCAGGGTGTGTGGGCTCTGGCTGGGGGTGCGGCCAGGGATGAGGAGCTCAGGGCTGGGGCAGAGGGTTGAGGTGCAGAGGGTGAGGGCTCTGGCTTGGGGTGTGGGCTCTAGGGTGGGGCTAAGGATGATAGGTTTGGGGTGCAGGAGGGTGCTCCTGGGCTACGGTGGGGAGAGAGGACTCCCCCCCGCTCTCTCCCCCCTGCAGCAGCACCTGGGCTGGGGGGGGGGCGGGGAGGTGCCTCTCCCTGCCACGGCAGCTCTGGAGCTCCGCAGCAGATCCGGGCCGCTCCTGGGTCCAGGCCCGGCTGCGACGCCCCGCCCGTGGCTGAGCCTGATCTGGCTGTCTCTGGGCCTGGGCCGCCCTGGCTGCGACAGGTCCCCAAGAAGGGTCCCCCAAGCGCCTGCACAGCGCTAAATAGGATGTTGTGAGGTTGCACAGATTATAGGAACTTAGGTTTTGCCTATGTTAAGGAAAAAGAAAGCCAATGCCCCAAGTTGCAGCTCTTGTGGGTGAAGTCTTAAAAAATGATGAGAGAGAAAACAAAAACGAGTCCCTCCGTGAAGGAAGACTCGAGCTTACACGCAAATCCTTGCTGTTTGGCTTCAGTGAAGGTACCAACTGCAAGGCATGGGGTGAATGAGCCCCTGTCACAGAGGGCTTTGACTTGGAGATGGCTTCAAGCAAGTGTGAAATCTGTGCAGCATGCACTAAAGAGTGGAAAAGGAGGAACTACCTTTTAATCTTCAAATATAAAATTGCAGATGCTTACATTGCAGATCTGTGAAACTGTTCTTGCTTGCATCAGCATGGCAAGGTAATACAAGCATTCCCAGTTCATGATAGGAAAAATCCCAAGATTTTCTGAAGGAGGAGTAGGAAGGTGGCATGTAGAATGGAGAGCATGTTTGGCCCATCATAGTAAAGCCCAAGGGTATTCAAGAAGTTCTCAACTGAAGCCTGAACTAATAATCTGACAGGAGCCCAAGGGCTGCAAATAATTTGCATAAAACGGTGCAGACTGTAGACGTCTTCATCTTTGACAAGCAGGTGAGGTGCAATTCAGAGAAACTACAGAGCTTAGCACACAAAAAGACACTGGCCATGAGTGAAAGGCCACTCAGATCAAGCTGGAACATCCCATGCAGGAAGCAGTAGTCTCCAGAAGATGCACTTTTGTATTAAAGGTGAGGGTAGCCATGGGCTGCACTGCGGAATTCTATGCGCCACAATTTGCTCACCTCTGCTAAAGCTGCTCTCTGCGGTTGCACTTCATTGCAGGCGCCTTTTATAAAAATGGTTCCTTAGTGCTACAACAGCAGATGGACAGAGGGAAATGTAATTCCCCTGCCTGTTTCCCTTTGTGGTGGAGAGACGACTTGGAACATAATATAATTCGCTCAAGCAGGCTGCAGCTCACATCATATTAGACAAAGCAACATATCAGAGGACAGAAAAGCGACGTGTTTTATTTTAGTCTAAAATAAAGTTTTGCCCTTTTCCTGCTGGCTGAGAGAAGCCAGCCTTTCACTTTCTCTCTTGATTACCGCTGACCTTTTCAGCAGTAAAATGCTGCACCAGACATTTTCAATAGAGTAGGAACAGCGGAATCTTGCTGAGAAGCAGGACTCTGTATATGTGCAGCAGAGATGCTTGGAAAGAGTAGCTGGGAGGGGGAAAAGAGAGAGCCCTTCCTTCGGCGCCACTCAGTCATGAAGCGCCAGCCACAGCCAATACCAGCAGGAAGGAACCTCGTTGTATGAGATGCAACCTAGCACAAAAAAGAGAAGCTTGCACTGAAGACACCACAGGCGGGGTAGTAAAGAAGGCTGTGTCTATCATAGCAAAGAATACAGGTGTTGCTATACATTGCAGCAAACATCAACTAACAAGAAAAGGACAAAAGGAGAACTGGAAAGGGAGAAGGAAACCCCACAGAAAGGATGAAGAGATACAAAGCAACATAACATTTCAAAGCTCTATTACCACAACACGAAGGCTGCCTCCACTACACAGACTGGAAGCAGATTCACCTCCATTGATGTCCAGTCCACAGAGTGTGTGGGTATCTCCCCACGCAGCTGAAATGATGGAAAACTGATGATTGTACAGTAGTCACATGCTCTGAAAGCTTTACATGGAGGACAGTTCAAATGTTCAGTGGCTGGTGCCTGTGGCTTCATAGGAGCTTTTAATTCATTAAACAGTTTGCCCCATAGGCAAGCTGCTTAGGCAGGGACCAGGACAGATCCTGAAGTCCTGCCTCCCACCTCCAGTCTGTTTCCACCATGGCTTTTCATTCCTCACTGGCTGAATCACTTTTGTAAGACACCCCTAGGCCAGGAGACCTGCAGATGAAACAGAAACATAAATGTTAGAAGTTTAGACCAGTCTGTCAAAATAAACAGGACTTTGTGAAGAGATTTTTGGAGGGTTAATTTGAAGGGACCATATTAAAGTACACTAGATAGCTGGAAAACCTACAGAGAAAGAAGCTTATCAAGTTGCTTGGACAACTTTCCATTGAGAAACCAGAATATGATCCTTTATAAGAGTTATCAGTGAGTCAGCTCAGAGTTACCTCTGAAAATCACCTTTGAATCTGTGTTTCAGCCCAAACACTTGTTTTCAAATAAACTATTTTCCCCATATAAGTATGTATCTTTAGGGCACGGACTGTCTACTGCTCTGTGCCTGTACAATGCCCACACTAAGGGGCCCCATTCTTGGTTGGTCCCTAAGCACTACAGTAATAAATATTATTAATAATAATCATACAATGCAACTCCCTAGGCTCCTGGGGTTCTAAGGGTGGCAATACCACAACTGCCCTACAATAACCTTGTGACCCCTCTACAATCCCCTTTTGGGTCAGGAGCCCTACAGTTACAACACTGACATTTGAGATTTAAATAATCTGAAATAATGAAATGTATGATTTTTAAAATCCTATGACCGTAAAATTGACCAAAATGGACCATGAATTTGGTAAGGCCGTAACTATGTAGAATACCAGGGGCCCAGTTGGCTTGGGGGAAGATAGCATGCAGTCTGCTTGGCGGAGGGGGCAGAGTGAAATGATTGACAAGTGAAAGCCCAGGAAGCTGAGTTAGCCTTACCAATAGGGTTACCATACGTCCGGTTTTTCCCGGACATGTCCGGCTTTTCGGCACTCAAACCCCTGTCTGGGGGGAATTGCCAAAAAGCCGAACATGTCCGGGAAAATGCCGGCCAGGCACTTCCCCTCCCGCGGAGGCTCTGCTCCTCCCCTGACTCTTCGGCTCTGTTTAAGAGCCGAGCTGCCCGAGCGCTATGGGCTTCAGGCAGCCCCCTTGCCTCCGGACTCCAGCCGCCAGCCGGGCACTTCCCCTCCCGGGCTCCGGGGGCGCGGGGTGTGGAGGCATGGGGGCTGCCGGAAGCCGGTAGCG